ACTTCTCTATGCTTCTGTGACGCACCGCCCTACACCCTGCTTAGTGGTTACACCTCGGGTGATACCACATGTGGTGGAGAATGCGGGCAGTGGGCGTAGGGGYGAATGAGCAGAAGTAGTGGAATTGACACTTTAGTTGAACTTTTTTCAGAACTTCGCACAGCTGATCCCGAAAACAACATGGAGCAATTGTTGGAGCTGCTGGCGGAGGGCCAGAGAGCCCAACACAAAATGAGCATGGCTTTGTTGGAACAGCAAGTAATTGCGAATCAACTTAAGGAGCAGGAGCTACAAACCAAGTCATCACCCCGGGCCAGTGATTTCCTTTCTAAGTTGGGAGTCACGGATGATGTTGAGGCTTACCTCCATGCTTTCGAGGCCACCGCCACTCGAGAGGGGTGGGCGAAGACGCAATGGGTAGGGATTGTGGCTCCTTTTCTGTCAGGTGAGGCGCTGAAAGCTTTTCGTGATGTAGAAGTGACGGTTGGGCAGGATTATGATAAATTAAGGGAGGAGATCCTGAGCAGCCAGGGCCTTACCAAGTTTAGCTTAGCGCAACGGTACCATGAGTGGACATTTCAAACAGGGGCGACCCCAAGGTCACAGTTACATGAGTTAACCAGAGTAACAAACAGGTGGCCTGAGCCGGGTAAAAACAGTCCAGCAGCCATTGTAGAGATCCTTCTCATCGACCGATATCTAAGAGCCCTGCCGTTTGATGCTAAAAAGGTTATCAGCCAGCAGAAAATAACAACAACCATGCAGTTAGTAGAAGCCGTAGAACAGTATCAGGCATCCATGGATATGCTTCGTCTCACCCGGAAAGAACCAACAGCTCTGGCTCCTGTTCGGCGTAGTGGAATTCGACCTGGAGTTACTCCACAGGGGAGCGCTCCTGCTAGCCCACAGGGAAGAGTGCCTAACCCGCTTCAACAGCAACGTGGATCCTCAAACCCGGACCCTCGTCAGTGCTTCCGCTGTGGTCAAATAGGACACATCTCGTGGCAGTGTGACAAGTCGGATGAGCCAATGCCCACAGCTGCATCCTCCAGCAGTCTACACGCCAACTTTGCTGCTCTCCTGGGGGAAAGTGCAGACTGCAGACCGACCTGCCCCGTAACTGTGAATCAACGGGATGTGGAAGCCTTGCTCGATTCGGGAAGTGCCCGAACACTAGTCAAGGAGTCCGTGCTGGAAGCCTCGTCTCTTGACCAAAGTGAACACGTCCCAGTCGTGTGTGTACATGGGGACACTTGTGAATATCCAACTGCCAGGGTGAGGCTGACAACTACCAAAGGCACATTTAAGGTCATAGTGGGAGTAATTAAGAACCTCCCTGTCCCCGTCCTGATCGGGCGAGATTGCCCAGCCTTCTCCATGCTGTGGAAAGAGGCAGAAAAGAGGCGTGAGTTAGAACCACGAAAACGTAAGGTTCCAGAAAAAAAAGCTAACCAGTCAGGGGGCAATCCTTCCAAGCCATGCGATTCCTCATCTGTTGTAGCTCAAGTTTTTGCAGCAGACTCCAGTGGTGGGGAGTCAGAACCAGAAGAGCCAGCCGACTCAGAGCTGCAACCCGGGCCAAGTGACGATGAGGCCTCGGACGTGGAAACGAAACCCCCTCTGAAAGGTCAGTTTGGTACGGCACAAATACAGGACCTTACCCTAAATAATGCTCTTCAGGTTGTAGAGGGAACCCTGGTGGGACCTAGGCTAACTCTTTCRTTCCCTCACTTCGCAGTCAAGAATGGTCTCTTGTATCAGGTYATTAAGTATCAGGATAAAGAGGTGGAACAACTTCTTGTGCCAAAACCTCACCGTCCCAYGGTTATGCAGTTAGCTCATACGCACATACTAGGGGCTCACTTGGGGGTGGAGAAAACAAAAGAGAGAATATTACAGAGGTTCTTTTGGCCAGGTATTCACAGGGAGGTAGAGAATTACTGTCGCAGTTGCCCCGAGTGCCAGGTCACGGCTCCAAAACCAAGATACAGGAGTCCTCTGATTCCCTTACCCATTATAGAGACTCCGTTTGAAAAGGTGGGGCTAGATATTGTAGGGCCMCTCCCCAAGAGTGCTCGAGGCCACCAGTACATCCTTGTCCTGATGGACTACGCAACCAGGTATCCAGAAGCTATCCCCCTTAGAAAAGCTAATGCTAAGCAAATAGCACAGGAGCTATTCCTCTTCAGCACTAGGGTAGGGTTACCAAAAGTAATACTGACTGACCAAGGGACTCCCTTTATGTCCCGTGTCATGAGACAGTGGTGTGCCCTGCTGCGAGTGAAACAGGTCCGAACCTCTGTATACCATCCCCAGACGGATGGATTAGTGRAGAGGTTCAACAAAACTCTTAAAACCATGCTAAGGAAGGCAGTCGGCCAAGATGGAARAAATTGGGATCAGCTCATCCCCTACCTCCTGTTTGCAGTTAGGGAAGTCCCACAGTCCTCCACTGGGTTTTCGCCCTTTGACCTGCTGTATTCACACAAACCCMGGGGACTGCTAGACATCGCCAAAGAGACCTGGGAGGAACAACCATGTCCCCATAGGACCATGATTGAACACGTGACGGCAATGCRCACCCGAATGGCCGCCATATTTCCTATTGTGAAGGAG